GCGCGTGCACGATTTGCAAGGACAGCGTGAACGGGAAGCACGACAAGCCGAAGCCAAGGACGGATCAAGCGGCTGCGACTGACAGAGCTCTCTCTAGCGGTGCTGTTGCAGGAGAAGTCGCAGTGCCAGAGCTCGCAAAAGCCTCTCTAGGCGGAGGAGAGCGCCCAGATGCTTGCAGTTCATTGATTTCTTTTGCCCTTTAAACACTTAGAAGGAGTCACAAATCGAGGGTCTCCCGACGCAATTAGACTAGTTGGACCCTTTTCCAAAAAGGCAACCCGGGTGCCAACCATTGGAAGTGCATCCCGACGTTGCGACTCGTTCAGCGAGAGGAAGATGTTTGGTATGGTCCTGGCGGTTACATGCTAGAGGGCGCCTGTGGCTTTGACCCATTCGCAACCTATGACGTTTGGATGGTGATCAGTGATCATGTTTTCCTGGTTGCTTGCATCTCCTGCCTAGAGACGTGGGGTCAAGTGTGGCAGGAAGGGATCTGGTTTTGGCCGTGAGTCCATGAGCTTCTGCTTAAGAGCTCCTCAAGCTCGGGTGAGCACAGGCAACCTGGAAGTTCCTTCAGCTTGCAGCAAGTTGCAACTGGGTGTCTGTCACAGGCAGCGACAATGGTCTAATACTCATTGGACTGCCCCGAAAGAGTCTTTGGTAGGTGATGAAGTAAATTGCAACTCTCACATCAACGCTGCACTTGTGACAAAGGAGCCACATGCTAAGTCTCGAGCATGAGCTTGGCAGCGAGACCAGCGGCGCAGAATTCTCTCAACGTGCTTGAGTCGGGAACATTTGCAGAAAGAACCTTCATCGCTTCACATCTCCGCACGACACATATCACCCTTGTGCTCTGAGATGCTTGCTGGTGCTCAGTGGGGAATAACCCAGGGCGTTGGGAATGAGCCGGCAGGGAAAGGAAGCCACAGGGGATGGTTGTTTATAGAGGTCATTCCCATTTCTCATTCCCTGCCTATCCTTTCAGCAAGGCGCTGGTTTGCCAGAATAGCTAGACCGAGATGTGACTACGAACGCATCAGGAGGACTCCACGCAGATCCCGGTCGCCTATCCGGAGGCGCAGGCCCGCCGCGGACGGACTTGTTGTTTTAATGTTCGACACTGAAATCGTTTCCTTTGGGAGGTTCCCCTCCTCTTTGTGGATTTGCCATTGAACGCGTTTCCCTGCGGAAGCTCCATGCTTGCATTGTCTTGACACAATGCCTTGAGGCACAGAAGAGAGCGCACGCGATCGGCCTCAAGGCCAGGCATAGAGTGCATTCCCAACCATGAGGTGGCCAAACTTGTTGCTGAGTTGGTTTGGGAATGTTCTTTGCACGGGATCCAGCGTCCAGGGTTCCTGACTTGTTGTGTACCTACGAGGGTGTACCCCTCAGAATGCCAATTTATGTTCCCAGCTTTACATAGTTGGTGTATTGTCAGCAGGATGGTTCGTCGTGCTGATCAATCATCACATAACTTTGGAGCTTCCGAACTTCCTTACTTGACGATGCCAGGCGATTGAGTCGCAGTGCAGACCGAGGCCCGTTTTTGCGGCAAGATTCGGGTTCCGCAAACGTACTGCGTTTGAACGCACTGGGCAGAGATACCCACTCGTACAGTTCCAAGCTTGATGCGGAATGCTTAGACGTGAGGCCGACAGCAGCCGCAAGGCTCTCCGAAGCGGGCAGGCAAGTAAATTCTTACGAAGGGTGATTGAGGGTGATTGGCAGCCTGTTTTCTGAGGCAAATCGGTTTCAAGAGAGAAGGAAGAGGTTAGCCAGAAGAAGGAGGCAAGGAAATCTCTGGAAATCTCTTGCTGGAGTCAGCACCATGAGGCTGCACAGGAGGAGGATCAGAAGAAGCAGCTTGGCAGAGATTTTACTGTGAAGCTGGCCATTCCCACCGCTTCTCCCGAGGGAGCGTCTTGCTGAAGTCAGGGGCATTCAGGCACAGCCGTTTCCGTTTTCGACAGGGTGACACAAACGCTACCTTTCCCTGCACAGGCCAGTGTTGCCGCGCTCTTTCAAGGGCCACGCCCGCCACGCTTGAGGATGCCTTTGCATGGCGCCCTTTGACGCTCGTGTGCGCCAGGATGTGAATGTTGCCAAGCTGCCGGTTTTCAAAGCAAAGAAAACCGCTGGAAGGCAAAAGGCAGAGATCATGCTTTAGATTTCAACCAACTAAGGCGCTTCTGGAACACGAGCAAGATTGAGATAATCACCCAATTTCTGTGGGATTAGGTCTATCGTTGACTTTCTCTACTGACTGTACAGGGCCTGCTAATGAATAGTCGCATGTTGATATCTTTTGGCAGCAACTGCAGAACGTGCTGTGCCTCAGTGTAGCACGACACGCCAAAGCGTTCAGCAGCTGTGGCTCGAAGACGCACACAAATTCGCTAGCCATTGGATGATGGCCAGATCATGCTGTGACCATGGCTCGAAGTACGTATTCATCAAGAGGTGTCACATCTACAGACAAATGTGTGCATTGACAGGAGGAGTCGCAGATCGCGGTCTCCTAGTCGGAGGCGCAGGCCTGCGGCGGAAGGCGTTTTTTTGAGGGAAGTTCGACACTGAAATCGTTTCCATATGGAGGTGCCCCTACTCTTCGGAGACCATTGGGAGTCCGGCTTGCTTGTTTTGACACAAAATGCCTTGAGGCACACAAGAGAGCGCACGCGATCGGCCTCAAGGCCAGGCATAGAGAGCATTCCCAACCATGAGGTGGCCGAAGTTGTTGCTGAGTTGGTTTGGGAATGTTCTGTGCACGGGATCCAACGTCCAGGGTTCCTGACTTGTGTATTATCCAAAAGGGGGCATGATGGTTCCTCGTGCTGGTCAATCATCGCAGAGAACTTCCCAACTGCCGAACTTTCTTACTTGACGATGCCAGGCGTTTGAGTCGCAGTGCAGGCCGAGGCTGAATTTTTGTGGCAAGATTAGGATACCACGCACTGGGCAGAGATATTTAATCGTACAAGCGAGCTTGATGCAGAATGCAGCCCTGAGGCTCTCCAAAGCGGGCAGGCAAGGAGATTCTTACGAAGGGTGATTGAGTGGCAGCCTGTTTCCTGAGGCAAATCGGTTTCAAGATCGAAGGAGAAAAAGGAGGCAGGGGAAATCTCTTGCTGGAGTCAGCACCATGAGACTGCACAGGAAGAGGATCAGATGAAGCAGCAGGGGGAGCACCTTGCTGAAGTCTTGGCCATTAAGGCAGGGCAGGTTTTGTGCCACAAGGTGGCATGAACGACTTCTTTCCCTCGACAGGCCAAGATTGTCGCGCTCTTTCAAGGGCCATGCTAGCCACACTTGAGGATGCCTTTGCATGGCGCCCCCTGACACTCGTGTGCGCCAGGATGTGAATGTTGTCGATCTGCCGGTTTTCAAAGCACCAAGAACCGCTCGACGGCAAAAAGATAATGCTTTAGGTTTCAACCAACTCCCAAATGCAAAACTAGACTGCATGCCTTTGGCTCAACAAGTAGGCATGTCACCGGCTGTTTCTGTGCACACACCTTCCAATGGGCAGACATGCGCTGGGGCATGAGTTGGTATTCCGGTGACTTTGTTTTGTCTCCTGGAGCTTCCCCAGCAAAATTGAGACCATCACCACCCACTGTCAACTGGCTGTACAGAACCTGCGAATGAATAGTCGCATGTTTATATCTTTTGGTACTGCAACTGCAGGAAGTGCTGTGCCTCGGTGTAACACGACATGCTAACGCGTTCAGCAGCTGTGGCTCGAAGACGCACGTGCAAAGAGATTCTGTTTTTATTGCGCAGGAGAGCACACGGAGCCTTTTTACATTGCTTGTGTTGTAGTAGCATGGTCCCAATGGTGGCGTGTTGGTTCCTCATTCCAGCTAGTCTGACTGCATGCATCTTGGTTTTCACCTGCCGATTGCCCCTGCCCCTTTCAATGGCATGGAAGGCATGGCGAGGCCCGGGCACAGACTCAAGCGCCTGCGAGTTTAGATGCTGCAGGCAGACGCCTTCTGGATTGGGCCTGAGAGAGATAGAGACGGAGAGCGGGAGAGAACAACTGAGCCAGGGTTGCGTGACTTGAATTGACTCTACTGAAATGCATCAGGTGGCACTTGCCGCCATTCTGGTGGTGGATCTCCAGCAAGTCACCCAAGAAGCTGCGAAAAGTGCAAGTCAACCAGTCATGGCTTCGGCGGCCTAAAGCACGAGGCTTGATCATGCTTTTGCCCGGCAGCACGCCTTTCCCGTGAAATTCCGGGAGCTGCGGCAGAGGACATCTGCAAGCTGTGGGGTCTTTAGGTTTGATTGTTCCGTCAGCCTTTTGGTGTGTGTTCTGAACCTCTGCCGGGTCTGAAAAGAAAGAGCCATGACACCATGACGTGAGGAACAGGTTCGTTCCACGGCTTTGAACCAGGATCCAGGAGGATCTCTCCAAGCAGGAGTATGCCTCCACGTTGGCCAGCCTACAGGATGCTTACGAGCAGGAAATTGTGAAGCTTGTCACTCAGACAGTTGTGATATGCACAACAGGGCAGAATAGCTGCGTTTTGCAGGGTCTCTCTTGCGAGCTAGGTGGGGCCGACGAAGACAGTGGCAGAAGGCTGGAGAGCCTATAGTGTTCAAAACAGCTTGAGGAACCTGCCCCGCTCTGCTACAGGCCTTGGGCTTCCTCCAAGAGATGAAAGACATGGACTTTCATCCGGGGGTGCGACCGGGTGCATTTCCAAGGCGCGGTTCAGTCCGGGTTGCTATTGCCAGGTACCAGTCTTTTCTGCCGCAATCCGTGCCTGCGGCGAAAACGTCAAGCAGTGGTGGCACTGGCATGTGATGACAGAAGGTGAAACCATGCTGCATTTCAATTCATGCGTCATGAGAGGCAAAGCGGTTTAGTGGTCCTGAATGAGATGAAGGACCTCTTTTGCAACGTGCTTTGTTTTGCATATGAATGAATTTCATCAAGGGCTAAAGCCAAAGCCTTGAGGAGCGCGAACTGCCTCCGGATATGGACGCATTCTACTGGGCTCTGTCTGGCTGCGCCAAGGCTTCCCATGCAGGGATTGGTACGTGTTACGCTTTCTGCTGTCAGGATCGACAGTGGAAGCGTTCCATGGAGGTGTTGCGAGATATGATGAGCTGGGGCCTTGGTTCCAGAAGAGGACAGCCTAAGGGCCTAGTTTGCTTTGGCATGAAAGGGTGCTAAAGGATACTTGGCAAGAATTGTGTTTTTCCCGAGAGATACACATCATAGCGGTTCTGACTTGAACTTGAAGGAGTGAGTCAGAATCAAGGGTTAGCAAGGGAGAATCTCAACCATAAATGGGTGGGTGCAACAGCCTTGCTAATGTTTTCCGTGTTTCTGGGTAAACCATTTTAGTACCGGTGTTGATTATGACTGAAGTGAGGGTGATGCTTAAGGGAGCCGACGGGCAACGAAGTGTCCAGCCACGCTTTTCATAGGCCTATGGCACAAGTTTCCCGGTTGCATGGTCGTATTAGTTTCTCCATAGACGCGTGAGTACCTGTTCGTCTTTTCCGTTAGCCGAGTTGTTCTGGTTTTTGCCCCTTGCGCACCGCGCAAGGTTGCCTGCACATCGTTCACGCTTAGGGGCCCAATTGCTCAAGCGATATGTTTGGCACGAGACTCCAAGCGACTAACGCACTTAGGCTGTTCAGGTATTTTCTTAACTCCCTTGCATGTTGAGACAGTTGAGCGCATACACCAGGGTTGTGACATTTCACAGTAGGGTGGGCTTTCGTGGTTGATTGTACGGTTGGGTCAGATTGGTTTTTGAGTGACTTTAGCTTTGTTGGGGGCTTGTTTAGAGTAACATGTTGGCATAATTTGAAGATGCTGGTGATGCAGGTGAAAACAACCGTACTCTGTTGAAGGGTTCTTGAGTGAACACGTGTTGGTCGGGTTTTTGAATCAGGATGGCTGGCTAGGTCGGTTGCATTTTGGATGAGAATGGGGTGGTGTGTGATTGTAAGATCAAACATCTGCTTCCCACCATTAAAAGTCTCTGCCTTGGACACTATGCTTCGGAAACTAAAACTCTGCTTCGGAAATCAACAAACTATGCTTCGTCCTTCAGGTTTGGCTTGCCTTGGAAGCTATGCTTCGGAAACTAGGCTTCGGAAATCAGCGAATATCTTGAATCCGCCCTCTGCTCAAACGCCTGGCTGAGTGGCCGAGGAAGTCCTGTCCGTCTTCGCAAGCCCATCTTGATGGAGGCGCTCAAGGCATGCAGGCCTGGGATGATTCATTCAAGGTACGTCTTGTCGGTATCAGAGCGTTTGATTTTGGCTGCGCTTCCTGCTGTCCTTCAGCATTGTTTCAAAAGATTTGGGGCAGGTACGGAGGTCTTTGGCAAGATGCCATTGACCTGATTGAGGAGCTGCACTTACTGCAGTATCGGCATGCGGCATCGGCAAGTCGTTCTGTGATCTTGTTGATCTTCTTGACTCATGCGTTGTTCATACGATTCGCACAACATTTGTGCGCAAGGATCAAGGGTTCAATGGTTGGTTTCATGTTGGTCCCTGTCAAAAGCCGGCCAAAAACGGGCCGCCTGTTTCGAGACATGGCAACACCTGAGTGATCCGAGATCATGGAAGATGCTGGCATCGATCCGGCAACAGAGGGTTTCAACAGGGCCAGCGGCTTACTGGAGCATTGCCTGCAAAAGCAGCCACTCGGTGCAAGCTGCAATCTCACCAAGAAGCCACGTGAAGGTATTATTTGATATGGGTATGGGGTCAAAATTAAACCAGGGGACTGCGGGTTTTAGTCCTTGGTTCCATTTGCCAGGGTTCCATGTTGGGCATATTTTTTTGACCCACACCCACATCGTGATTTTGATCTCTTCAATGCAACCCTCCTACAATCCGACAACCCCCCAATCGGAGCGCTGATCTTCCTTGGTGCGTACTGCTACCCCTTTTGTGTGCGGAACGCTTGCGACGAGCAGCACCACAAGTGCCTGCCTAACAAAACGATTGTGGCGGTTTTTCCCTAGGGCGAAACGCCTGCTGTCTACAACGTTCTGGAAGGTCCGGCTTGAACATTAACAAAACATGATATATATATATATATATGTATATGCTACCCACCCCCCAGGGACCTACCTTTTGGTTGCCTGTCCAGTGCATTATCTGCCCATCTAGGACTGGAGGGAGAAATCTCAACTAGGACTAGGACCGAATAAGACTAGAGCCAAGGATCTCTCAACTAAGACTAGGACCAAACTAGGACTAGACGATCCACCTCTGATTCTTACAATAATTGATTTTCAAGTAGAATTTCCTCCGTGATGTCCTTTATACGTTCTAATTATATATTTCAGTAAACTAGGAGCAACCTCACACTATAAGCAAGGATCTCTCAACTAGGCCCAAACTAGGACTAGACTATTCAACTGTACTTCTTATAGTATTTGGATGTCGAGTATTACATTGATAGGAAATACATACCTGTGTAACATTTGGATTGAAACACAGAATAGCCAATACTTAAATTCCAACTTAACATGCAAAAATAGCTAGTTGTGTTCCTTATTTTAAGCTCTACTGTTCAGTTAGCAGTTACATAGCACTTGATACACATATTTAGCAGGATTCACGCGGAAATTTCTTTGTAATGTCCTTTGTGCTTTCTAATTAGTTCAATAAGCTAGGACAATACTAGGCCTAGAACCAAGGATCTCCCAACTAGGACTAGGACCAAACTAGGACTAGACCATTTAACTCTCGTTCTTATAGCGGTTGAACTGCAAGTACTATGTTCTATTCGAAAGGAAATCTTGTGTACCATGTTTTGACAGAACACTCAATATGTAAGTTCCAATTTAAATCGAAATTCGGACTGGAGTATATCCTTCTTAAACTCCATTCAATTGCAATTATATTTTGGGTCGAAATAGATAAACATATTAATTATAATTCATAAGGAAAAACATCTGAGGTCCCAAACTTGTGTCTTTTCACTAGTCCTAGCACTACCATGGTCAGCAACACCGTAAACAACAGTGTTATGTAATGTAGCGGTTTTCATACTCATTTCACATCTCCACCAATGACCGCTCTCTAAATGCTCATTTAGTTTTGACAGGATTTAATTGGGACTCAATACGGAAGTGCTTGCTCAGAATCCTACGTCGAGTTATATCTGAAACTTTGAGTTTAAATATCATTCCTTTCCCAATATATTCTTACAATTCAATAGAGTTTTCGCAAAATTTGATAAGGACATAATCCAAGCCTGTACTTAAGATTCAATTTTAAGTATTTTCCAGACAATCTTCTCTGCAAACCCGAGTCCAGGCCGAGTGAAACCGATTGCAACCGGCCGAAATCAGTCGAGCCCCGAGAATAGTTTGGCCTGCAATCTTGAATATGTCCTAGACTGAAACGAATTGAAACACATTGAATGAATAATCATGACTGGATGCTTGCACAACACTGAGCCAAAGCACAGCCGCGCAAAGTGCAACGTTGAATTTGGGTCTCGAGTTAAACCGATTTAAACCGATTAAACCGATTTAAATTTGAATCGGGCCTGGATTCAAGATTCAGTTTAAATCAGTTTAAATCGAGGCCTGGATTCAAGATTCCCTGGAAAAGTTTGCCCTGGATTCTTGAATCTTGAATCCAGGCCCGATTTAAATTTAAATCGGTTGAAGTCAAGCCTGAAGCTTCCCGAATGTCCTTGGACATGTGTCTGTTCCATTGCCTTCCCCAAAGCCCAAAAAAGGGTAGAAAACACTGCACATACCAGTGAATTCTCCAAAAAGGAGGTCCCTGAAAAGGGGGGGTACCATATATATATATATGTCTACATATACATAATACATGCGCAGATCGTTTGTAAATTCCAAAAGTCATTCATGGGAAATGTGGCTGAAAACAAACAAGTAAAACACATGACTGGACGGACGAGCGCGTACAGGAGAGAGCATAGGAGTAGACGCGCTCGTCCATGCAGGTGGTGTCTGCGTGGGTTTGGACAGACGAGCATGCCTTCTCCTACATGTGCTATCGTGCGCTCGTCTTCTCAACGCTCCCACTTGTAGATTTGACTTGTGAGACTTTGATTTAATGACCACAAAGCACATGAGCGACCTCTCAAATGCATCTGATACATTTAGGCACGCAGCGTGTGCGTGCCGCACTCGTCCTGATTAGAAAAGGTCCGTACTGCTTATGGACAATACAAACATGAATTAAAGTTCCTGCCTACAATCTATTGTGGAAAATACTTGCTGGTGCTTAGGGAATGACCCGAGGAATGGGCATGAACCGGAAGCGGATTCCCTTAAAGGAATTCACAGGGGATGGTTTATGGGGGTTCATGTCGTTTCTCATTCCCTGCCTATCAAACCAGCAACAACCGGGGAAACGAGGCAATGGATGCCTGCCTCATGGCCAACGAGGCGGGAGACGGCAGAAGTCTCAGGTGACACGGGGAGGGGTTGATGTTGTTTGCTGTTGTGTGGTCTTCGGGTTTCGGTGTTCACCTCTAGATAGTTGGGTTTGGCGGGGTCTTGGCGTTCAGATGTTTGCGTGTTTCGGGGGGCGATCTTTGGATGTTGTGGTGTCGAGGTGTGGGAGCTTGGGGCGTAGGTGTTTAGGTATTTTGAGGCTTTGATGCGTTGCCGTTTTTGGTTCCCGACAGAGAACCGTAGACCAGATTTCATGGTTTTTGACGCCGTCAGGAAGATTGGTTTGACGTCGTGGTGGACAAAGCTGCAGCACGCGGCTATGAAATCATCATATAGGTCTTTACCCGACCTGTTATCGCCCCACTTGCAATGTTCATAAGAAGGCTCGCCATGTTCCCGCCGGCCTCGAACAAGCGCAACGGGGAAATGCGGCTGTGCTGCGACTTGAAATTCATGCCTGGAGGAGGAAGATGCGGTCAGTTGAGCAGACTTAGCGAACCAGACTTCACGTACTCTTTTTGCTGCGGCTCAAGCCCAGATTAGTCACGAACGGTCATGAAGCTGCGCTGAAGCCCCAAAGTTGAGCTGCCGAGCTCTAAAGGAGCAGTGCGCATTTGTTGCGTTTGGTTGATCGGCGCACTCTTATGCCTTACCGCTCAATCAGAGCTCGAAGAAATGCATCCCATGTTGGAGTCCGGATGAAGGAGCAGTAAATGCCCGGCTCCCGATGCTTTTTGCCCGTCTGCTTGAAAGCACATGCTTGATCCAGGTTTGGCAATGCTGTTACCGCCTCTGAAATCTGGGGCAGTTGGCCCAGTGCGTCGTGGATTGGCAAACAAGTTTGGGGAGCAATGCAATCCGAGGGTCTATCTGGCACCTATGTCTTAGAGGAGCGCAGCAACAAGTTCTATGCATCCAGCCCAGCGTATGTCCGAGGGGTGAAAAACCTTCTATCTGTTTCTGCATCTTGTCTTCCTTGTCAAGGGTACAACTTGACATGGGCCAAGAGAACCAACAAGTCGTACAGGTTTTGATGGGGAGTGTCGAGTCAAGAGCTCGCTGCTGGGCAGTTCTTGTTTTAGAAATTGCCTCATGCTTGACGGACCAAGAACATGGTCTCGGTTGGCTCGCCGCATGCGCTGAGCCTTGGGCTTAGAATACTTCGTCGCTGGCCGCCACATTGCTGGATGTCAATTGGTGCGACCGTTAAACTCGCTGCTTCATTTTTGACCCGAAGAAGCTTTTGGGTCGCGGATGACCGGCAGGGGGCCGGCAGGGGACCCGTCTGCTTCCCGACTGGGGGGCTCCGGATGGCCGCGCTTGTTGCGGCTCTCTGACTTTGCCATGCAAAGTTGCAACAACACACCGCAAGCACCCCCTTAACCCGAAAGAGTGTCACATTCGCAATACGAGCATCGTTGCGCACGTTGCTCTTCTTTGCGGAGCAAAGTCCAGCAATTGTTTGCAGTCTGATTCTACAAGTGCTCTTGTTGCACTCTTTCCCTTCCAGCTGCAGGCTCAACTCCGGAATGACCAACGAGCAAACGGAGCAATCAGGTGTTCCATTCCGTCTTGCACAATGCGGAAGATGGCATGTCAAGAAGCATCCTCCATTCGGGATTGCTGGTTCCCTTTCATTCCGTTTTGTGCACTCTATCCTGTACCTCCACTCTATCCGCGCTTGGTCGCTCCTTGTGCGTGCCATGTCCTTTCTGTCTTGCGCATCGACAAGGCCTATTCTGCACTCCTGCTCTGACTACTTGCTTTCTTTGCCCAAGTATCCATTCCTTCCTGCTTTGGTTTGCGCGCCTTCCATTCCAGCTTGCGTAACCCAGGATGCATTTCACGGCCACTCATCCAATCTGGGTTGCGCACCCCACTGTTCTGATTTTCATGTCCATAAGCCGGAGCATCCTTGATCCGTTTTTTTTTTTTTGGTTTTTGGGGGGGGGGATTTTGCAAAAAAAAAAAACACATATTGCGACCCCCTTTCCCGCCAAAGAGAGACTGAACCCCACAACTGAAGCTGTTTGGGAACAATGCTCAAATGCGACATCAAGGCCTGGATGTCTGTTAGTCAGGGTTCATTCCCAGCCACACGGACTTCGGCAACAACAAGGATGGCGCTAAGGGCAATACAGCAATTTGACACGAGGCTGTGAAGTTTGCATGAATGCTTGAGAGGGAGCTAAAGCTTACCCGTCAGATCGGGCGCGTAAGATTCACGTGTGCAACCGCTGAAAAGACCAATTGCTTGACGTTTTCGGGAAAGGTTGTTGGCTCTTTGACAAGACTGTAAGACAGCCATGCTGAACATCCTCATGAATGGCGATCTTTCATATATCACCTTGGACCATGGCAAAGTAGGAGCCAGGGCAGGATGCACCGGGAAATGTGGGAAGCCAACCATTTTGCTTCAAGGTTGCCCATCACGACGTTTGAATACTCAAATGATGCTCCATGACCATGCCATAGGTCTTCTTGGGCAGTCCAAGCAAGCGACATGCAGCAACCCTTTCATCTACAGGCCCCTGAGAAGCACTCGTCTTTGCCCTTTGCTTTAAAGAACAATCGTGTGGCAACGTGCCGCCTGCTTTGAGCAATCCGCGGCCAATTCGAAGTCCACCGAAACCGCCAGAGGAACCCACGGTGTCTGGGAATATTGCTATGCCATTGCTTTACTTTGATGCTGCCGCTCTTAGCAGGACGTTCTACTGCAGACTGAACTGACTTGCAAACTTACGGTGGGTGAGCGCTCATCAGCCAACGATGGCAATAAATATTGTTGCAATATTGTTCAAAGGGCCACCAGGAGGAAAAGCGCGGCCAATTTTTGGGAGTCCAACCTTGGAAAAGACACCCCCATATGGCTGTGGGTCAAAAATAGGTACAAAACATGGGTTGCCCTTAGAAATGGAAGCATGGAAAGAACACATGCGGTCCGGTGGTTGAGTTTTGGCCCATACCCATATGAGCAGAGTCCTTTTTGCGATGTATTCGCTTAGTAGCTGATACACCCAACAGCAAACCTGCTCGTACAAGTACGGGTCAAAATTCAACCACCAGGACACCGTAGGTTTAGTCCTTGTTTCCATTTACCACGGTTCCATTTTGGGTGCCTGGCTTTTGACCCACACCCATCTTGGGCCACCAACACCACCACCGCCACCACGGTCTCGCAATCTGAGGCCGCCTGGCGGAGAGAAAGAAGCGAGGCAGGCGGGACCGCATCAAGCACACGGAGCTGCCGGAGCCTCAGACACGAAGCCAGTCACGTCGCGGCAACGTTTCTTGTTCGGTACCTTGTCACTCCCTGAGGCGTCGTTGCGGACTTTACAGCTTTTTTGGAAGATCTTTTTGGTGGGAAAGTAACAGTTTGGACCTTTTTGCCCATCTGCTCAGGAAGTGTTTAAAGGGAAACCAAAGGAAAGCCACCAGTGTTAAGGGTCGCCTATTTTGAAACATACCCAAATGAACCGATATCATGGCATGACTTTGGGAATTTGTGACACACGGAACCACTTGCAATCCGGAGGCAACCTCCAAGTATTCCATGTGTTGTAGTTGATATTGGCAGGTCACTGTGTGCCAACTAAGCAGAGTCCAGCTACACGAAATGCCCCGCAGGTCCTCACTGGCCAACCTGGATGCGTTGCTGGCAAGGATACGGACATGTTTCGATAGCCTGATGTGTCACTTTCACCTTTTGGTGCACAAATGCCCTGCATTTGAGTGCCCAGGAGTCGCGACTCGGACCCCGAGCCGCCCGCGGAAGAGGTGCATGTGCGCCTACCACCCATTGACAATGCCCGGCCAGGGCCTTGCATTGGGTCACGCGCGGTTCATTTGAGTGCTAAGCTTCGTACAGGTTGACGTGGTCAATCTGGTCAATCATTATATTTGCATTTGCCATGAGGCTCCTTGTTTTGTCAGCACTTGTGTCCTTTGTCACACTCTTTCCCCTCATTTCATGTTTGTTTTGGCATTATCTTGCAAGCTTGAGGGGATGCTGTCGATGCAGGGGACAAACGTGAATGCTGATGCTGGGAGATGCTGGGGAAGTGTTCACGGGGGCTTGAGACAGATCGGATCATTGTCATCAGTTTGCTCAACTATTACTTTGCCTGTACATTCGTTGGTACTCTTCCTTTCAGTTGCTATCACTTTTTGTTACAATGAGCAGCATGGATCCGTGAGCCAAGGGTCAGCATATGCAACTTCAAGAGACTGTTGGGGCAGCGGAGAACTCAGTTTTTGCTTTGTTCGGCACTCCGGCGTGATGCCTTTGTACATTGTACTCGAGGTCTGCTGCCAGTGTAGAGGCGAGAGCCGCTTTGACCAAGGTGCTGTGTTTGTAGCGTCTGCCTGAAGGCTTGCCAGGCACCATCAGAGTGGCATCTTTTTCTGTCCGAGCCTCTTCGGCTTGCAGACTTGCATGCCGTGCCACCACGGAAAAGCCAAGGCTCAGGGCTTCCTACGATGGCGCGATAGAGGCGAGGTGGGCTGCCGCGGTACTGTGCCGCCCCCCCCCCCCCTCTGCTGGAGCCAAGGGAGGGAGAGGAGAACAGTCATCCCATCCCCTAAGCACCGGATGCAAAGCTTTGGTTTATTAAGCAGGCTGACGCCTGATGCCGCCGACCCCCCAATATGCTTTTATTGTTGATGTTGTTTTAAATATTGTTTTAAGAATTCGAGGTACGAGGTAAACATAATAATAATAATGATGATTATTATTGTTAATTGGCCAGATTCGCAAAAAGAGAAGAAACAAGAAAACAGAAGTAACTCTAAGGTATAATAAAAGATGGACTAAATCTCCTCGAAATCTTAAATCAAAGAAAAGAATACCAGAATAAAACTCACCAAACATAAAACACGTGTCCAAAATAAGATAGGTAACGAAGGCATCATCATCATCATCAGCATCATCCTCACCTCATCATGCATCATCACCATCAGCATCATCATTCATCGACATCAACATCATCATCATCATCACCACCACCATCATCATCGTAATCATCATCATCCATCATCATCATCAGCCATCATCATCATCATCATCATCATCATCATCATCATCGGCATCATCCCCATCATCATCATCATCATCATCATCATCATGACCATCATCATCATCATCATCACCATCATCATCATCGTCCTCATCATTCATCATGAACATCATCATCATCTTTATGATCATCATCATTGTCATCATCATCATCATCACCATTCATCATCATCATCCTCATCCTCATCATCATCATCATCATCATCATCATGATCATCATCATCGTCATCATCAACATCATCATCGGCATCATCATCATCGT